CAATACCTCACCGATTACATGTTTAACTGATATCCTTTTTTTTTTCTCTTTTCTCCACAGAATGAAGAATTGGATAAGAAGTATGCTGGCCTTTTGGAAAAGAAATGGACCTCAGTCATTAGATTACAAAAGAAGGTTTGTAGAGTTTTGTTTTTTCTCCTCCCAGAATGCTCGTGGGGATTTAAGTCTTGTGACTGGTTCATGATATTATTGCTGAATCCACTGTTGGCCCTGAAAGGAAGTCAACCGTTATATGATGATTAGTTTCAACAACCATTCAACACCCTTAGAACCTTTGTTTCATGTATTCCCTCCCTGGTGTAATTGTCTATACTATGTGTATATCTCTATATCCTGAACTCTCTGCCTCTATGCTGTTAACCTGTATGTTCTGCACAGGTGATGGAACTTGAATCCAAACTGAACGAAGCGAAGGAGGAGATCACCCTTGGTGGGCCCGTGACTCAGAAGCGCGACCCCAAAGAGTGGATCCCACGCCCACCAGAACGGTACGCGCTGAGTGGCCACCGCAGTCCAGTCACCCGCGTCATCTTCCACCCGGTCTTCAGCGTCATGGTGTCGGCTTCTGAGGATGCAACAATAAAGGTCAGTGCTGCCGGATGATCTGAAGAAGAAAAAAAAAAGGAATTGTTGCAGAGCTTTCCTTCTAAAGTGGTGTCAGCTGATTTGTTGTCAGACATTAAAGGTACTATATGGGAGATTGGGAGCATTTCTGTTGTCTCTCAAAGGCTCAACATGGCAATCACTGAGCTGGTGGCTCGCAGCTAAGCCGAGATAAACTGCTTACAGCAGGTTTACTATTGTGTCGGAGAACTATGGTGGCCTTCAGGTAACGCGAAAATGTGAAAGGCTTGTTCCCTGCTCCCTCTGTAGATATGAAGGGCTCATTTTAAGATTCTTAGTTTCAGGGAGTTATACACCAATGAAAACATGGTTATGAATATTATATTCAATTTGTGCTAATAGATCCCCTGAAATGCTACACACTGAGAACTTGGATGCTGATGGTTTGTCTCTCTGAAACATCTGGTGACTGGTTTGAGTGGTGATGGAAACATAGAAGACTAGGCAAACTGACCTCAATACATTTCTATCAGTTCTTCATCTGCCTGATTTAAAAATCCCTCTTTTTTTTGTCTCTCTCCAAAGTAAAACAGTTTTTGTTCTCCTCCGTTAATTCAACATGTGCTTCCATTTCCTTCAGGGAATGTAAACAACACTCAGCTGTGCTGAATATCAGGTTGCTATAGTAGCAGCTGAGCTATAAATACACATCTGTCAGCCCACATGTTGTCGCATGACAGTTTCACTGGAACATAAATTGAGCTGTAGTGTACAACATGTACAGTAGTCACACAAGACATGCTGTTGTACAGAATATTGTTGATTTTAACAATGTAACATCCTGCTTTTAAAGAAGTAAAATGTTGTATGCTTATATATTTTGCTCTCTCGGTTTAATGCTTCTCTTCTCCCTCAATCTATTATGCCTCACTCTGAAGCATTACCTCTCTTGCTGTAGCTCCCCTTCCTAGACACGCCCAGATTACACAAGTGTCTCTTTCTCCAAGTCGTCCATGTATCCCTAGATTCCATATATAAACTCCGTAGTCTGTTTGCAGCAGCAGGTCTCCTTTGCCTCGCTGCACAATGCTAATACTCTGTTGAGCTGTTTGTTCTCTATATTTTATTCATGAGACAATGAGAGACACGTGTACATCTCCTCAGCTACACCCACACAGCAGGGATTCCTCTCTCTGTTTTGGCATCTTCTTCCTTTTCCACCCCCCCTGCCGCTGCAACCCGTCTCCCAGCATCCTGCTTAAGTTATCTTCCTCTTAAAGCATCAGCTGCCCTGCCATCAGAGCAACCCATCCTTCAGGAGAAGTCAGGCCTGGGCACAAATCTAAAATTCAGCCCTTGCTTTCTTGCACCTGTTCTGGCTGCCTCGTCTCTCTGTGGCCTGGCCCGACTCCCCCCCCATGTGGCCTACTTTCCTCCTCCTTAAGAGCTCTGTTAAATTTTTAACTGAGGAGTAGACCTTGTGCTCTTTATTCTCTGCCACTGACTCAGAGGCTCATTGGCTTTCCACCTCATGCCAGTGAGGCTGCCTATAGCCCGACGATCACACTGAACTCCATTTTGTTTCATTTCAGTCGTTCATCTTGACATTGTGCTCATGTTAGCCTATTTTTTGTCCTAGATCAGTATTTGGAGATTGTGGAATAAATAACTTCAATAAAAAGATAAAAATCCCTCTATCCATACGATGCATATTTAGTGGGAGCCAGCAAGGGCTTTAGACTGGAAACAGCTAGCCTGTCCAAAGCTAACAGAATACCATCCTCTCTAAAGTCTGAAGCTCACTAATGAAGCGGTTAGGTGGCCCCTAGTAGAGACTCCAGGAAGTCACTGGTCCAGGCCAGGAACCTGTACAGATGAGTTGATCTTGTGTAGCTCATGAATCTACCGAGATAGAAAGATGAGGCTGACTTCTTATCGCCTAATTAAATTTGAGATGCAAAAGCCAATCAGAGATCTGGAACAAGGAGAAAGAATGCCAGTCTTTTCCCTTATTCATTTGTTCGGTGTCATATTTTCTTTTCTGTAGACGTACCTACCTCCCTTTTAACTCCTTATTTTCTTACTTATTCCCTCACTCCTTTTAGTTCTGCCATTCTCTGGTCCGCCCCCTCTCGTCCTCTCGCCGCTGCTATCATGGCAGGTTTTTGCATGTCAAGATGTTACCTTGAGTTCAGCTCTAACCTTTTACAGTATGCAAATCAGCAGGTCCTGGGCGGAGCGCTGTGCTCAGTCAGACATGTCAACCAGAGGCTAGGTTCATTTAAACTAGGGCAAACTGCTCGGGTGTCGGCTTACTCGCTGCTTTCTTCATAAACAACGTATACAAAGAAAGACTTTGTGTTATTGTTGAACTTTGAATGGCATTTTCTCAAAAAGAATGTAAACTATTAACCACAATGAAGTAGGGCAAGTTTCCTGCTGTAATAATGCCCTGGAGGAGTGCCAGGGGGAACTGTTGGTGAGACGGCATTGAGTTGCAATTAGTTAATGGATTATGTGTGCTTTAGATGCTGCTGCTAAACACTGTTTTATGTCTGTAAGCCTGGTGCATCTCCAAACATGTTGACTGCACTGAACTTCTCCAGGATAACCCCCCCCCTCTGCACTTTGTACCTCGTGGCCATCTGCACAGTCTGTAGCTTCCTTTTGGGGGGAGGGAGGAGAGGGTGGTCCCCTGTCACCGTCTGCCCAAAATCCCTCAGCCCAAGAGAGGAACCAAGGAGGGTTTATCCCTCCGTGACAAACCGTCTGTCTGCTTGAAATCCTGAAATTCAACAGCTTTCTCAGGCTAGAAAATGAAGCTTACTACTGTACGCTCCATACTGGCATCGTCAAACTCGGCACAATAAGCTGTCTCTGCTTTTATCAGGCCTGACTGTTACCCTAACCAGCATCTTGGCGCATGCGTCTCTTCCATTAGCAACAGAAATGTGTGTAGCGTCTGCAGACTGAGGGCTCTTAAGGCGAATGGCATTGTAGTACGGTCGTTTTTTTCCATTTGCATATCATGTTTTTTGGGGATCGTAATGTGACTTCCCTGGACAGCCTGGTTCTGCTGCGCTGCTCAGCTGAGAAAGGAGGGGCGGCCGGGCAACAGATGATGTGACATTTGGGGTCTTTGCTGGGGTTTGGAAAAGGGATTCAATGTGAAAATGAACAGTATACGTGTATGAAGCTAACGCATGAATATGGGCTCTTTCATTCAGGTGTGGGACTACGAGACGGGGGACTTTGAGCGCACACTGAAGGGCCACACGGACTCGGTGCAGGACATCTCTTTTGACCAGACCGGCAAATTGCTAGCATCCTGCTCCGCAGACATGACGATCAAGCTGTGGGATTTCCAAGGCTTTGAGTGCATCCGGACCATGCATGGTAAATGTAGCTTTTGGGCTCAGGTGGTGCAGATGCTGTTCGTTATCACACTCGATGCCGTTGATGAGCCTCAATCTGCTCCAATTCACAGCACACGACCTGCAGTTCTAGCCGCCATGTCTACTCCCCACGACAATATGCTACAAGATCCACCTCCTCTCATAATGTGTCGTGTAAATTGTAAAGAATTGTTTTTTAATAAGCCTACCTACATTATTTCATTTTTATTTTGAGAATCTACATCCCCATCTTCACTGTCTTCTCTGCAGGCATAGCGCGCGCACACACACACACTCGCACACCCCACTTTCGCACCCTAATTGCCAAGTAAATGATGGCAGCAGTCTACATGTGCCCTCAGGCCCTGCTGATTTTAAGGATTTTTTTTTTTTTCCTTGTTGGAATTGTGAGAAGGCCCCGCCCGCCCGCCAGCCAGCCCAAACAACGTGAAGCATTTAGTTCTCCTCTTCATCAGTCTGCTAGAAGTGCCCATTAATGTCTGACTGTGAAGCAAACGTCAATGAAAATGAGTGAAATAAATAAGCCTCCTTAGCGAACAGACGAGAAGCGATCTGGCTTTCTTGCATTCAAGCTTGAGTTTTAAATACTGTATTTTGTTAAAAATGAGCAGCATATTTCAGCGGTTGCCAATTTTTTTTTTTGTTATTGTAAAGGAGGGTGTGATCTCCTGGCTCACTTCCTCAAACAGAGGAGCTGAGTTTTCACTGATTTCTGTCTGAAACCTGTTAAATTGAGCCCGCTGTCTAGTTTTGCTCCATTTCCTCTCCATCCTCCTTTATACCCACGTCTCCATTCATTTTAAATTCATCCACTCAACCTTTCCTCTTTTTGTTTCTTCTTTACACCTTAAAAAAATTATGCTAAATGGTAAAATAGATTAGTGCCGAGTTGGACAGCAGTTTAATTATCCTCTTCAGCCCCAGATAGCACTTTTCTGTGTAGCTGCCACCCATCATTGTAGCCTGATGGCATGTGAATGTGCACACACAAGCTGGCCTTTTAGAGTACACTTACTGTTGTCTTCATCTGTTTAGCAGCTTAAATATGGCCCAGCATCTAGGTAATTAGCCATCTCTTATTCTCCGCGGAACAAAGTAAGCTCCAGCAAATTGGCTGCCTCGCTTGTCATTTAATTGGCTAATTACGACCAAACTCAGCGGTTTTTGGCACCATTGGCGGCTGAAGATGTAAAACAAACTGAAAAATTGTTGCTGAATTTTGCCTCAATTTAAATGTTGAGTCTACTGGATTCCTGAGATCTTGTTTTTCTGTTTTCCAGGACACGACCACAATGTCTCTTCTGTAGCCATCATGCCCAACGGAGATCACATCGTTTCTGCCTCAAGGGACAAAACCATGAAAATGTGGGAGGTGGCAACTGGGTACGTGCCCTCCATAAACATCCTTGAATCCACAGTTGTTGTTGTTAAAGCATCCTATTCTGTTAATCACATCCACTGTGACAACATGCTGACTCCTTTACTGTTGTCTGTGGATCAGCTATTGTGTGAAGACCTTCACGGGCCACCGGGAGTGGGTCCGTATGGTTCGGCCCAACCAGGACGGCACGCTGATCGCCAGCTGCTCCAACGACCAGACGGTGCGCGTGTGGGTCGTGGCCTCCAAAGACTGCAAGGCCGAGCTGCGGGAGCACGAGCACGTGGTCGAGTGCATCGCCTGGGCACCGGAGAGCGCCCACCCCACCATCCAAGACGCCACAGGCTCCGAGGTAAAGGAAAACATCTGCACACCTCGAGGGTTTGGTGGAATCCAGAGCCAAATCGCCTGAGCCCTCGGGTCTTGTTTTACTCATAATTATACAGGTTTATCTATAAGCAAGGGTTGAATGACACACTGTAGATGTACACTGTGTTCTTTCTCTACAAGAACCGACCAGCTTGAAGTGAAGTGCATAATCTGGCTGGATATCAGCATGGCCTCCCTCCTCATGCCTTGTGATCTCAAGTGTGTCTAATTGTAAACTTGTCAGATTGAAACAATATTTGCCCCGGCAGCAGTCTAACCTGTGAGCAGTTAAAAACACTGTTCGGCTTGTACAGAAGCTGATTTCTGGTGTTTTGTTTCTTAACTGAAGTGAAACTTGCACAAAACATGCCGTGTATTCATTTGGGGTGTTCTGGTACAGTAAGTGCTTCATTTATTGTGTTTTTATTCTTTAATTTAATTTAATGCAAACGGTACAGAGTATTGGCAGAAAAATGAGCACAAATAAAAATGAATAACACAGAAATTGAAAAAATAAATAAAATGTATAGATTATTATTGACACATTTGTATATTATATATTGACCCATAAAATGTTTAACACAAAACAAGGTTATGTTTGGTAGAGATGAAGAAATCTGGCTTTGTGATGTTTGCTCAAGAGACAGATTTTATTGCTTCATTTCTGCTTAAATATTTTTAAACCCAAATATTTTAACAGATCAAAGCAGTGAAACGCGGCTCCACTGATTCTCTGGTTATTGCTTAGATGCACCTGTTTGAACAAAATCTCCATTGAAGCAGTTAAAACTATCCAGCAGGTAGTGACTGTTAGTCCCAGTTTGCCTGACTAAATGTTGCAGGTAATGAATTTATTCAAGCTAATCTCTCTTTCCCCATTGATGACGAGTCCTGTTTTTATTCTAGCGTAACAAGAATTGATATTATTCAAAATAGTTAGTAGTATTTGGTCGTTGATTCTACTTGGTATTAGTTTTACACCATTACATTCCTTGTTTTGTTGTTCTTAACCAGGCTAAGAAGAGTGGTAAGCCGGGCCCGTTCCTGCTGTCCGGCTCCAGAGACAAAACCATCAAGATGTGGGATGTTAGCATTGGCATGTGCCTTATGACACTGGTGAGGACCATCTCCGGCTAAAGCCTTTCATTATGTTCATGTGTGTGTATTTAAGTGTTTGGATCCAGAGAAAACATTGTATATTATTGAATTGAATTGAAGCGAGTGTCTTCAGTAGCGTGTGTTTGTCTCCCAGGTCGGCCATGATAACTGGGTGCGTGGAATCCTCTTCCACCCTGGAGGCAAGTTTATTGTGAGCTGTGCAGACGATAAGACCTTAAGGATCTGGGACTACAAGAACAAGCGCTGCATGAAAACCCTGTGTGCCCACGAACACTTTGTTACCTCTCTGGGTAAGCAGCCCCTCACCCACCCCCTCAAAACAAATGTAAACAGCCTCATCCATGTTGTTGTTTGACCAGTCGGTCTCCCGAGGTGCAACAGGAACCTCTTTATTCAACGTGCATTGGACAGTCGAGCTGCTTTCACAAACATGTGCTGTAGCCGAAGGTTGAATCGTGGTAAAGTAGCCCGGTGCTTCCACCGTGGTGTGTTCAGGGTCCTGAGGGTTGCTGAGCAGCTGGGGGTTTAAGAGGTAGAAGAGCGCTCCAGGATTTTCCCGCCTCCCCCTCTGTGTATTTGCAGCTTTTCAGCAGATCAAGGCTCGCTAACTCTCTCGAGGAGCTCTTCAGCCAACTTCTCCTTGGCACGCCGTTTGAAAGCCAGTCCTCTTAAATCCTCCTTCAACCAAAGAGGATATATCGCTGTGGGCTATTGATGTGATGAATTCTGGAGCAGTGTGTAAAAAGACAAAGCACCTTTTGTTTGAAATCATTGAGAAAAAAAAAAGTATTATTTTCCCCCATTTTAATACGCATTGTCCTAACACTAACAAGCGGCTTCCCCAAAGCTGTTTGCATTTAAATAGCCTGATAACCGGTTCATTATTCATTAACCAACCATTAGTGAGCGATGTATCAATGATGTCACTTTCAAGGTCTCAAACAGGAACACTGTAATAACATTATCATCGTCTCGGTAAAACCAGAGAGCCCGAGTAGTTCAACTCACTCTCATCCACACTTATCCATTTTTCATTATCTTTTTATGAATGTGGCTATTTTTCTTGCTCTGGAAGAGGACGTCCCCGTTCTTTAATCACGACTACAAAGCTCTGATTGGTCAATTATTCTCACACAGGTGGAAATGGCCGTCAATGACGGAGATCTTATCCGCTCATTGTCTGTACGATTCTAGTATTTTCTGCCTAAATATTGAATATTTAGACCGTGTCCGTGGGTTAGCCCACCGTTAGTACCTCAAATAACTCAAATAATGTGCTCTCATGCATCTCTCTGAGGTGCGTTCAGATGTTGTATTGAAATGGTTTTTCCGTTCTGATGATCTTTTATGTCTCCTACAGATTTCCACAAGGCTGCTCCCTACGTGGTCACTGGGAGTGTAGATCAAACAGTAAAAGTGTGGGAGTGCCGCTGATTTTGACCTTGGAGGATCGGACCACCACCACCCCCAATTACCCAGGCGCTCCTCTGGATCCCTCCTCCCCAATGCCATCCTTCATCTCCCTCCCCTCCTCCCCCCTCACCTAACCTAAACCTCATCCGCACATCATCTCCGGCTGCACTTACCACCATGGTTATTTACCTATCCCGCTCTCTGGTCCAATAACTATTGTCCTTCTGTGTAAATTATTCCTGGATGTAGATCGAGCTATTAAATGTTACACAAAAAAAGTATTCTTGCATGGTAATCCAAAATTGTATACTGTAAATTTACATAACGTCTAGAAGTACCATAGGTTTACCACGGGGCAGCCTTACCGACCAACCGAAGGCAGATGTTGTTGACTGGGTGTAAAATGCAGGGCACTAAAAAAACCCCATAATTTAAGAAATGACAGTGTCTTTATGTGTAAGATTTATTTTTGTCTATTTTTTTATTTAGGAATTTTTCTTTTTCTGTAATTTCCCTCCTTCACTGTCGTAGTCTGTTGGTGCCTAGCTTGGTAAAAACTTTCAAGAGACGAGGCTGGAAAAGCGTTTCTGATGCGA